CAGCTTGTGTATGCTGATCCCAGCACTTAAAATATACATTTTTAAGTTCTTGTAATGTGATGTTGTTAATTGGCTGCATTGCTATCTGTAGGCATTCCACTTTGTGTAATGTGTCATATGACAGTACAGTGGTTCACACCACCAGTGATACCACCTCTGCCAACTAGAGAAAGTGACTTCGGCATTTCACATCCGACACCAGTCTTGAATACCTGTGTTTTCTTGCAAGGGCCTATACAGACAGAAACGTGCGTCGGTCTGCCAAGAAAAGGACACATTTTTCAAAAAGAGTTGGGTTCAGTGGTCCACAGAAATTTGTACCCCACGGTAGTGTCCAACCACTGAGTTCAGAAAGCCACGTAACATTTTTTTAAATCCAAAATAGCTGTCAGTGTAGTGGCAGGTATAGCTTTAGTGAGCAGGTCTATACATTTACTATGAGCACTTTCATTCGCTGACTGTTAGGTAATTTGGCACGGTACTCGGGTTCCTTGCCCCTGTATTAATGTTCAGACCTACGAAATACCACATATTCTTGTGCATTTGCTTTTTTTTTTTTAGCGTTTATCATATGTTGTTTTTCTATAACTCACAGGCCTGTGAATGTGCATTTTAGTGTGAATATATCTGGAGTGAATGCCTGTGGGTCATCCTATAAATTTGTTTGTGTCCCGGTCTCACTTAACTTGATTTTGCAAGTTTTGACATTTTTTGATTTGAAAGAGTGAATGAGTGTATTTGCCAAACAAAAATATTTGAAGTCAGTTTCATTGATATTTCCAGATCAAATTACATGGGTCAGAAGTACGAGGGACACAAGAATGTTACAGTTTTGGACCCCCCAATTTATGACCCATGTATTTCTTGTCCTGTGTTGCTATGACCAGACTACACACAGTGCCGTTTGTTTAATGTTAAACGCTCACAAGGAGATAACTTCATATCTCAGTTGGAATTTCAGCGAAAAAGTCACCAGACCACAGTCTTTGGAAAATTTACCACAATGACATGTATTTCTGAGCAGGACTATCAGGGGGCTGGTATTCAATTATTCATGTTACTTGTTGGAAGCAATGACAAGCTGCTTCAAGTGCCTTGAGTTTATTAAACTCCCTAGGTGTATGTGAAATTTTATTGAAATCGGAGGATACCTGTGAGAGCTAAAGCTTTGTGGTTTGATTTGATGGGCGTGTATGCAAATGGTGCCATGTTTTTTTTTTCTTTTTATTTGTTCAAGCCTTCTTTAAATTTTATACATGCCTCTAAAAGTGCCAATATAAAGAAAGTTTCTGATTTCTGTAACTATGTTTTGTTTTGTGTGTTGTTTTTTAATTTTGTTTTGTTTCAAATGTTCATGTGGAGCAAGCAAAATGATTCTACCCAAAACAAGGACTAAAAGTGATGGACTTGTGTGATCACATGATGCAGTCCAGTGGTCAAATAATACAAAATTTGAACTCTGCAAGAATGTTTCCGAGCCAACCTGTACCTCTCAATGGTCAAGGTCACCTTGGCATGCGGACAGATAAGATATAATTGATCACTTTGCAAAGGTCGCTGCATCAGGCTCCAGAATTTTATGAATTGTGGCAAAAAATACACACGATAGAATATCCAATGAAAGGATTTGTGGGTACACCATGGGATCTATCTCTCTGCTGAGAATGGCAAGAGTATCCTGGTCGAAATGTCGAGTTAACACCCAGCGGTCCTTTTCAGAACCCCACCTCTTCCCACGGTGTACCCGCAAATCCTTACCCTATGTACTACTTCCGCCATGAAAAGTTTCAAATCTTACAGAATATCAAGTGGAACACAAAGCTGTAAATTAATGCTGTTTGATGCACTCAGTAACGTATGGGGCCCGTATGTTACTAAGTTTGTAAACAGGCATGAATTAACAAAGGTTTTATTTCATTGGATAATTATATTAAGGTGTCTGTACTTTACAAATGTCTAGTTCGTAGGTTGGGAAAATCCACCCAATAAGCAGTAAAAATACTTTCCTGTGTACAGTGGGAGCTGAATTCTTTGCACTTGTCTTCCACAAAAATGTTGATCGCAATCCTGTCTACCTCCATCAGCAATATGATTCACAGTGAACCTTTGCTTTCGCCTATGTAAGAGGGCCCAATAAGTTGGACGTCATTTTGACTGGGAGGTGTGGACTGTGGAGGGTATGGATGGAGTACACACAGCTATTGGTTCATGTTGTTTTTTGTATCTCTCATGCACACATAGTTGGGTGTGTGATGTGTTCACTTTGGTGCTCTGTTGTGCAATGTTTTCATGGAAAGGTTTTCTTCCCCTTTTATCTTTTTTTTTCAAGTTTCTCCTTTCCTCCCCCTTTATTTCCAGAAATATCTTCCCACTTTTTTTGGGGGGGGGGGTTAACCCAAAAAAGTGTCAGTGCAGTGTTTCTTTATGATAATATCCAAATGCTGGTTTCTCCTGTACTCTGAGCACACAGGCTTGTAAATCACGCTTCAGGGAGTGAATTTAGCGGTTGCATCTGACGGGCTTTTGACAGCCAAAAAGAAAGTGATTCACTGTAAATGGCTGTGACTTTGCAATGGGCAAAGCATGGTCAACACTTCCCATCAAAGATCAAGACAAAGGACACATGCAAAATTCAATGTAGGAATTCATTTTGCCAACTGTTGGTTGTTTTATTTCCTGCAGGGCGACTCTGACTTACTAGACACAGTACATGTGGCCACTTGTATATTTCTTACAGCAAGAGGCCCAACATTGCTTAATTGTGAGTGCACCTTTACTCATAATCAGTGACTTCAATATGTTTGACCGTCATAATTATGCAGCCATGCAGTACAGGTCTTTTGAAATAAGCCGTATCTTTCAATTCATAGCTTGACTTTTACAGTTTTACAATCTCTTCACAGAACCGAGCTGATTTTCAGTGTAAAATGCCAGACACAATAAATTCAGGTGTTTTGTGCCGTTCTTATGCTACAAATTCTTTTGTTTTGGTTTTTTAACTGGTAATTCTTTTCATTCGCCAAAGATCCTCTCGGCATCATCTGGCTGTTTTTCTTCTTTTTTTATGTCACTGAAAAGCTCCACAAAACACCCAAATATGATACTTAAAACGGAAAGGTAAGCAGTTAAATTAATTCTCTCATCAATTACTTTATACACTTTTGACTCAGTTCAATCCAGGAACACAATTCCTGAAAACGTAGAGGTATGCAAATGGCACGAAGAGAATGATTTCAGTCTTCTTATTCTCACTCTTCGAACTCTAATTGTTAATGAACTTTACTTTAACTTCAACTGTTAAATATTGTTTTTTCTCGGGTAGCACGATATATTATGGACAATAATTTGCAGATGGCCCTGAGCCGAACTGGATTGAAATAAGTTAACAACGAGCGCTTTTGGCTGATAGTGCACCGGGTTCTTTACAGATGTAAAGTAAACCGGGTTTACAGATACTTACAAAAACTTGCCTTATTTGTTGTTCATATTTTTGTATTGCTAACCAAAAAAACAAAAGGAAGATACTATCTAACGTCCGAGGACCTCAAAACATGTACAGGCATAACGTCACCTGCAGCGTATAGACTAAGGCCGTTTTCCAATACTCAACTTCGGCTCCGTCTCAGGCTTCATCTGTTTTTTAACTAGCTGACGTTGAAGCTGTAAGCGCAGTAATCAGTAGGTTAATAGTGCCACAAAACATCAAATAAGATGCAAGAGAGCCAGAAATTACAGTAATCCAATTTAATTTAAACGCTTCAGGCCCACATTTGGGGATTGGTTTTGGGAACGAAGCCTGAGACCGGAGCCCAAGTCGAGTATTGGAAAAGAGCCTAATCCGCCTAGACGCGCACCGCACTGACGTCCATTCTTCAGCTTGACGCGCGCGTGCAGTTGGCAAATCACGACACCCTATTGGTCGAAGAGGCATGTAACGCGTGCGTACCACCTGTCCACGTGCCACCGCTGTAATGGCTTCTAATATATGATTCTATAAACCGAAGTAGATTTCATTACACGCTAATTGACGTCCACCTGTGGACAGTACGGCTTTTGCATAGTAGCTGCCACTCACTAGCCAAGACGGGCCACTAATTTCGATCGAAGAGGTGTCGAATGTAGTCTCCTGCACGCTGTACGTGCCCTGTTGAAGAAAGCAAATTGCCACAAAAAATGAAGAAAAAATAATAAATCGGGTTATATCCCCCCCTGAAATGCCACAAAACAGGCAGTAACTGCATCACCACCAGGTCGCTTCCATAAAGGCTTGACAAATCGCAAAGGTTTTCTATGGAGCTCTGTCACACTTCGAAACCAATTGGGGGTAAAGCCGGAAAACTAAAAGCTCACACTTACCAATACATGTATAATATTTCACGGTCATTTTTCCCGAGGCAGAAGGCTAAGGGAAATAGGACCCTATACCGCGGTCTCTCGCGCGCCGCGCCCGAGGGCTGGGGATGTGTGGACGTACACTAGTGAACGTAATCGGTTGTGAGGGCGCTGTAACCAGTCAAACTTTTTGTCCGACTGGTCACTGCACCTCGGGAGCTACGCATGCGCGATGTCTTGGCACGGTCCAGTTCAGGGTGACGCAAGTTTCATGAGCAAGCCCATAATAGAGAACCCCACGTGACCGTGTGTCAGCCAACCAGGATAAAGAACGAACAAGGGATAATTGTAGATAATAGTTTATGCCTTGACAAAACTTTGTGGTGTCTCAAGTCAATCTACATGTAGTCAAAACAGTTTTATTTATAAAGATTTTTATTGTGTCGTTATTGTGCATGCAGCATTTACCTGTTGGAGCGGACAGTTGCATGACGGTAGATTTTGGAGTGTTGGCGGACATGAGTTGGACTGGGTGGCATTAGTTGGCTGTAGGAATTGGCAGACGTCGTCATAAGACAGAGATTTCGCTGTGACCCACCACCACAATACCTGATGATCACAGTTGAAAAGACAGCAAATTACATTTCAGTTTTATGAATGTTTCAGCGGCTTTTCACTTTGATAGTGGCATGCGTCGTCAGTTGTCTTGGTTGTCCTGGTTGTCCCAAGTATCAATGGCGCAGTCGAAAAACAGTTTTTGACTGTACTTTTCCCACCGTGTACTGTCATGATGCTAGCGTATTGGCCGTCCAGCCAACCCTTTGCTCGGACCGTTCAGTCAAAAACCACCACCACGACAGTCGGGTTGCATCTCGTGAGCGACTTCATCGGGTTCTCCTTGTGAGAGTCATGTACGCTGCTACATGCATGTACGCATTCATGAGATCGGACATGAATTTTTGTTTGATATTGTTTTGTTTTAATCAAAAAATTAAGCCAGTTTGTGCATTTGCCTTGAAAGGAACATGAAAACAGGTTTAGGATGGGGGAGGCACCAGATAATTGGCACCGCGCCGCCGCCTCCCCAAAAGGAAGACACACGTCTACTCACCTTTTTCTGTACCTTCAAAGTTGCTTTCAAGGGTGAGGTGAGTTCCTCGTCTACCGTTGCCTCCCCGTACGCGACGAGGCTGTTTGGACCCGTTGGGTACATGCTGAACCTTCCCCTAACCGGGTCCGTACTTGAACTGCAGTCACTTGAACTCGCGTAGCCGTCGATGTTTACCGCGCTCTGACCACGACAAAGAGAATTCAAGAAAGAAATACAAGAAAGTGGAACACACACACGCATACAAGTGTGTATTTGCCTGCAACTGGGGACCCCCTATTGTTCCTCTTTTGTTTGTACTTTAACTGTTTTAGAAGACCACCCATATGTTTTGTACACAGTTGTCAATCGGGGACCCTCTGTCAATCGGGGATCTTATTGTCCGCTATTGTTCAGGGTCCCCAATTGAATGCAGAAACAAACTCAAAAACACACACCAAAGCCACCTATTCTCATCAGAATACCACCTTAACTGAAAAGAGTGATCTTGAGTACAGATCTTGATAGAAAGCTTTAGGAAAATGAACCAGATAGGCCTAGGAGAAGTTATTAATTTTTTTCTGATCAAAATAAGACCTTCCCTTGTATACTAAAACTAGTGGGCGCTTATTTAACAACAATGGGTAGATTTTCGAAATTTCCATGTGATAAATACGGGCACAAAAATGGGGCCACTTTTCTGATTTTAGAAAATAGCCTGTCAGTGGCAGCTGGAGTGAAATTTCGTTTGGATGTAGTCGAAACTTACTCGCCACTCGACACCGCATCACTTACAGGCCAAGAACCAGAGTCGATGCTTACCATTTCGACGACGAAAAACAGGAGAGTCGCCGCAGCCACGCACAGGGTTGCACAGGATGAATTCATCTCGAGGTTTGACAGTTGAATCGATAGAGAAACCCACCACACGCGATAATAGCAGAGCCACTGATCTTTAACTTAGCAACTCCTTTTGCAATGATCGAAAGTCTATGGATCGATCGTATTTTATAGCCGTACGCTCTTGGCACTGAGTTGAATTACTAGGAATTTTGTGATAAACCGCGGATTTCGTGGTAAACTGGGTAATTTGTGGCTAACTCGCCACACCGACCAAGTGTTACGCCAGCTATAGCTTGTCAAACATACCAGGATGTGAGCTGTTACGTGTAGGGCCTAAAGGTCCATTTGGGTGTCGGTGCTGTCGAATGATTACACTTTAAGCTTATCAATGCGTCACCAACACCACGAACTGACACTAAATCATGCGCGAGGTGATCTCATTGTTTATTTATTTATCCTTTTTTTGGCACATTTTGGTGAACCGAGGCATCATTTTCGTTTTCACGAACTGATACCGATCTTAAATCCACCACGTAAAACGAATTTTAATGAAATTTTGGGGTAAAGCAGCAAGTATATAGATGGATTAAAATGTCAAACCTTGCAAATTATTTTTTTCTGTCCTGAATTGCCGTATCAAGTTCGGGTGTAACTTCGTGATGTCGAAAATATTTCGCTTAATGTCCGGTGTGCACGCGCACAACCATGCAAGGGCTGGTTCGTGAATCGAAATTGTTGATAGCACAGTTTTCACGAACTGACACCCACCTACAACTGAGTGTAAGTCCATACTGTCGGTGACGATTTGTAATTACATGTAGTGGCTCTGTGTGGTATATTTATATTTTTGACTGTTGTATCTTTGACATTCCAAAACTCTAATATTAGTAATAGAGTAAATTCGTGGTAAAATGGAGTAGTTTTACTATTGATAAAGTAAATTCTAATCTCTTTTTATGTGTGGCTCTTAAAACGGCCGTTGTTTTTGCCGATGTTTGTAAAAGGTACACTTTACATAGTTTTATAGTCAAAAGGCACTGTTTTCCGACGTACGTGGTCACGGTCATCAGGCGTCCTTGGAGGCCGATTTCACGCGTCGTCAGTGTGCTGCAAAGACCGTCGTAAACAGTAGTAGAAAAGTATCTTTTTGGCCTGAAATAAACAATAAACATTTAAAAACCAATTTTCCGTATATTTTACGGATTACATGTTATACATGACGTCCCGGGCCGAACGAACTCTGGATGGTGCAGCAATGCCTGACCTTCTCTTGCACATGCTCCTGCACCCACGGCAGACATTACATGAGAAGTTGACCAACTCAGTGTGCTCATGCGCTGTGAACATTGACATACTGTAGAGTACGTTGGGTTTCCATGGAGCTGAGACGTACACATGATTGATGGGGCCGATGCCCTTTGCTTGAAAAGGTTTCCCACGAATAACTCCATCGAAATATTGAACCTGGAATAAATAGGATAAAAATGCAAAAAGAAAAATGCACCGAATGCGTGCTCGGTAATACAGTTCATGAAAACAAATTAATATTACGTGGTTCAGTGAAGTTTGTGCAAGTTGAGCATACGCAAGGACTTTTGAGTGTCGGTTTATAGTGTCAAAAATCGAATCTTTAGGGGTTTTTCTCTTTTATGATGAATTTTGCGTCTGTTTGACCACGATCAGGCAACTTTTTTATCCCGTTGGAAGTACCAGCGCTATTTGCGAAGGCTGAAGGCTTATCGTTTGTTTCCAAGTATATTTCAATCTTTGTACTGTGATATTCGAGAATAAGTCATAAGAAACCGTTTTTAATGCAAGTTTGGTTTGATTTGCCGAATTGTACCTGTACAGTGCCGAGGCTCAAAATAATGTTACTTTGTACTCAATTTGACTTTGGGGCCACTGATTGACACAGGAACTCTGGCATGTCCTTGGTCGGGGGCAGTGGAAACGAAGACCCTTATTAAAGTTGTCTATGGGGAGACTCGTTGCATCGATTTGTCGTCAAATCTATCTCTCTCGCTCAAAAATGGTCTGAAAGTGCATGTATATTTTCAGCGCAAACCGCGAAATAGGTGCACAGTTTAAAACAATATATATAAGGATTAACTATGCTAAAATTTCTGTACCACGTTAACACGGCCAGTGGTGAATCCTTAACGAGCCGGGTTGTTTTGGCCCATCTCACGGTGTGTGTCTGTGGGCGGGGGGGTCCTCCCCCTGCCGAACTCGGCTGTGCCGCGCTCGATTTTTTTAAAACTTGGCATGCATGTAAAGACATTCCATATCATTACAAAATTAACGTGAAGTTCGAACTCAATCAGACATGTATGGTTTTGTTGTTACGACCATTTTGAAGTCCAAGGCTTCATGCACGTTAGCCTGCGTGCATGCACTGCACTGAGCACTGCAGTGGGAACATTTTTGACAGGCTGTCTTGGAAAAACGGGCGCTGCATAAGAACGGTAGCTCTGTGTTCGATTTTCACAAAATAGGTGTCAAAATGACCGCAAAAATGCTATTAAAGTGTCCTAAAGGCTTCGCTCCCCAAAAAGTGTCAGTGTGGCCACATCAGTGAAAAATGTCGAGGACGCCGGATTCCAACCCCCCCCCTCCTTCAGGGTCAAATGTCGGGAAATATTGGTCAGAACCGCAGCAGTCTATATTAGGTAAATCCGGGTCAACTCCCACTTTTGTTTATCTGTTTGTAGCTCAGCGGTTTCTAGTGAAATTACCCCCTCCTTCCCCCACACGGCTTGTGCCATTTGTCCAGGCCCTGTGCATATCGTCCTTATGGAATTAGGGCTTGATTCCTAGAAAAATTTCCTTAAACGAATCCATCAATTTTTATGTCAGTGTTTTAGGTTGGAGTCCATGAGATTAAAGGACACTTTATACTCTTTTACAATGTACTTAGGTCAGCCATTAATGAGGGGCGTTTGTTAGCGCGCTACGGTATATACAGACCGTACGTAAACGTAGGCTCTCTGGTTGCTTTGCTTGTTTTGCAACTCTACGGTCACCCCCATTCAGGCTGCACATTGAAATGGATGAAAGCCATCCATTTCTGTTTTTAGAGTCTCTGTTAGTGTCCAGCTCAGCCTGTCCAAATATTGTAGTATACACACTCAAAATCGCCCAAAGCTTGCTTTCACGACTTCAAACACTGACGACCAAGACGAACTCACTTTTTGGAGCATATTTTGCGTTGCTTAGACTGAAAACAAATTAAGTGGAAAATTTCACAAAAACACATACCCAATTAAATGTACAAAGAGACGCATATAATAAAGTGGCCAAAAGGTTAAAGATGATTATTGTTTCATTTTACACGGGGTACTCTCTTAATGCAACGGCGGGAAACTCTCTCTCAAAAAGAGTGCACAGCACTCAAAAAGATTGCAGTTTATATACATAGCCGTACAAAGGACAACTCAAAAAAGAATTGTTCGCCTTATTTTAGAGTGATTTTTATCCTTTTAGAGTGGTCTTCCAATCTTTTGGAGTGGTTTTCAGTCTTTTGGAGTGGTTTTCAGCCTTTTGGAGTGCTTCTCCAATCTTTTTAAGTGGTTTTCACTCTTTCGGAGTGGTTCTCCAATATTTTGGAGTTGTTTTCAGTCTTTTGGAAAGGTTTTCACCCTTTTTGAGTGAATTTATGAGGAATACACTCTTTTTGGGAGTAGGTTTTTCACTTTTGCCTTTAGAAAGTAGCTTTCGAATTATCCAGGTGGCGTCGCCGTGCGTGTGAACGAGAAAAAAAAAATCACGGGGGCATGGCGCGACCCGGTCGTGAACGAATTTACATAAAGTACCAGCCCACGCACCCGTCAGTAATAAAAGTACCAAGACTCTGTTGACCAGTACATGGTGTGCGCATTCTCCATTTGAACAATTTTACGCATGCAGGCTTCCACTTCGTTGCGCTCGCCGGATGTGGTTGTGTCAAATTGCCGGGGTCTGATCCAGTGATTCTGTTTACTCTCTGAAATTGCTGGACGCAGTGGAATCAGTCCCGGATGGATGAGATCCGGGTCATTAGACCGCGGACCACCTCAAATTTACACATGGCGTCGACCCGCTTTTCCCCTTCGATCCCCTACGGGGGGTCCTGTGTAGGCCTAATACTGATGTAATGGAAACCTAGTGGTCCGTCGGGGTTTCCCCCGTATTACTCGAAAGGACGTTTGACAGCATGCCAAAGGTTGGAAACCAGTAGACGTAAATAACCTGCCATAGACAACAGATAATAAACTTTTATCCTTTAAAAGGGAAAAAAACACAAAATTGTTCGGGACAAACGGCAAATTAAAGCTCTGGGCCTACATCTTTCATTCTCCTTTCAATCGTTCAGCGATAACGGATGACTTTTGAAGACACACGTTTCTATCACCCCTGAAAGCAGTAATGAAAGTCCCCGCCATTTTGAAATTGGATGGCACTGGCAGCTGATGCGATCAACATCATGTGCAATGTTCAAGGGCGCTATTTTACCCAATATTTTCAGAAATACAAGCTGGCAGCTTTCGCTCGTGGTCCAGCGCCCTGTTCGGGCCGCTCGGTGTGACGAGCTTCCTATTTTGTGTGGTTCCGCATTGTGCACACGTTAGAAGGTCTGCCTTTGCCGGGGGTACGTTTGTCTCTATATCTGAAGTTAAATAGACTGAAAATGGTCGGAATGGGCTGGTCTTGGTGTATCGGAAAGGTTATTGTTTTAGTCCTAATCCAATAGAGAAGTTTTATTTCCAAAAGTCAAAACTGAAGTGGGGGGAGGCTATTCGCGAATGAAGATGAAAGTTGCTTTATCCGAGGTTCAGTAGTCTGAAATAGTCAAAATGAGAGGAACTTGTTAACAGATAGAGTAAACGTTTCTTTATCCTTTGATGGAGTTTCCTATCCACTTATCCGCAGAAGACGTCGAGAGTTCTGCGACTTCAGTTTTTGGTGCAATTCAACATGTATCCCCACCTTCGCCATTTCCTTCGCCAAGATGACATGTCTATGTTTGAGCATCAAAAGTCTGAAAACAGTTCACATTTTGCAATCATGGTGCCATCGGAAAGGCAATCTTATCCTTTATCCATTCATGTAAGTTTCATAATCCATATTTGCTGTAGTTAAGGAAATAATTTACGTGAAAGAAGGCGCAAATTGTCCATCTTCCCATTTTGTACAATTCAACCTGTGTCCATGATGCCTTTTCCCGCGCAGCTGCCTATACTCGAGCATCAAACGTCTGAACTTATGGTCCAAATTTTGCAATCATAGTGTC